GGATTAAGCTGTTGTAGTGTGTCCTGAAGTTAAAGGGAATTTTTGAAAATATTTCACCATGAAGAAGGACAACAGTACCGTGCATTAACGTCATACGTGTAGAACTTAAAGAACAGCCGAACACTGCAAACAAAAGCATTGTTTGATTTCCACTGACTCTCGATGGAAGCACGGCTAACACGACACAATTACTTGTCTTTATGCGTGGAATTGATAAAATCTTGTAAGTATAGAGGAATTACTTGGTCTGTGTTGTGGATTTCGGGATGAAATGCGGTCTCAAATGAATGAAAAACGCAGGAATGAAATATAGCAAATAAATGTATTGACGTAATAATACAATTGGTAATACGGTTAGTAGATTCAGAAATGCGGTTAGTAGCAATAATAATATATATATACAGTCTGAGAAATTCAGTATCGAAGTATAACTTCCTTCTCAGTCTACGTGCTCGCAACTGTGACTCCTACAAAGCGGTTACCTCACACTCTCACTCTCTCACTCTCGGTTATTCACCGGCAGTAGTTCAAGTACACACTGGGCGAGTCCACTTGTATAAAAAGGGGTGGACACCTTAACAGTCTAGAATCCATAAAAAAATACAAACCAATGGTCAGGACCCATTTGAATATGCCGTGGATTTTGTTGAGAAACGTGGTTTGTCATGGAATAAAATGGCAAGCATTGCCACAGATTGGGTCAGAGCTTTTACTGGAAAAAATGTAGGACTGATTAAACTTTTAAAAAATAAATTAGAATCACCCGTCTTGAGCAGTGATATATTGACATTCCATTGCATTTTACACCCGGAAACCTTTGTAAAGTAGTACTAGACTTAAAGCATGTGATCAACCCAGTTATAAATGCGGTGAATACAATACAAGCAGGGACACTCAACCACCGCCAGTTTAAATCTCTGCTTGCGGATATAGAATCAGAATATGAAAGCGTGATTTATCACAAGTGTGAAGTGCTTGAGCCTGGGTAAAGTGATATAAAGAGCCTGGGCATGACAATGAAATTCTATTATTTCTAGAGGTGAAAAGGATTTAATGCGAATTTGTGACCAAAATGGGATGTGAGCAGTGGAGATATGAGCTGATGCTTACAGCAGACATATTTGACAAACTGAATGAATTGAATATGATATTTCAGGGAAAGGGGTTATTTGCGCATGAAATGTGGAAAAATGTAAAATCTTTCAACACAAAAGTAGGCTTATTTGTAAGGCAAGCAGGTGAGACCAAGTTTTGTTATTTACCTTTATTAGGCAAGGGAAAGTGTCTGGAAGTGTTTCTGTTAAGATCAGGGGTTATTTGTAGAGTTTAGGGGATGAAATCATAATATTTCAGGACTTCAAGAAAATTGAGCCTGAATTCAATTTGTTGTCTTCTCTATTCACTGTTGATGTTGATGCACCACCTGAGGGAGCTGCAGCTTGAGCTAATTGATATACCTGTTGATCACACATTGAAAGAAATGTACAATGCTGGAAGATTAAATAAGTTTTATAAATTATTGTCTGTTGATATATTTCCATGTAAGAGATTTTCTGGTAAAATGTACTGTATATTTGAATCAACATATATTTGTGAACAAAGTTTTTCTTCAGTATCTGTCTATATTTTTGATATGAGGTAAAATGTACACTATTTACATTAATCGGACTATTCATTGTATTGTTTATTGAAACGGCACACAAATCATCGGCTAATTGCCAACTGATTTGAAATTTATAAAATGGTAAATAAGGATTTCCTTAGATTTTGTTCATATATTTTTTTATAATTTAGTAAATTTATGAATACAAAATTGTTTTCATATTTATTTCTTTATAATTTGGTAAATGATAAATAGTGCATTGCATTATATTATTTACATTGTTGGGACTATTGTCCTCATCTTTGTCGCCATATTTATTACAACGTTTCGGCCATTATACGCTCCGGCCTTCTTTAGGGTTCAGTTCGACATCCCAACCACCTGAGGAAAGCCGGAGCGTACAACGGCCGAAACGGTGTAATAAATATGTTGACAAAGATGAGGACATTGTTCGAATAATGCAAATAAAGTTTTTCTTGCATGAAATTTTACAAGAATAAATGTAGATGCTCTTTAACAGACATGAATTTACAGGCAGTAATGAGGTTCTCAACAAGCAACCTCACTCCAGATTTCAAAGGAAATTTTAAAAGCTGTGATAGAATACACTTGTCCCATTAAATAATTAAATGTGATGTAAAATTTCCTCATAAATGACTAAAACTAACTCAAATGTTTAAGATTTTTTTTGATACTTATGCTTGAAATGACACCTTTTTTAGAAATAAAACTTCATGTTCACTAATGAATACAATCAGTGCGGCCCTCCGCCGCCTTCTGCTCCGAAAATGCGCCCCCCCCCAGCCAAAACAATTACCCACCTCTTCTATATGGTAAAGGTGACATTTAGTCGACTACGATCTAAACATATTGATAATGAAAGAAATCTGCAAAACCGTTCGTAAGTTTCCTAAAATTTCGAAATAATTAAATGCATCTAATAATGCAAAATGCAAAATGGATGTGCTTATATTCATGGCTTCTGTTCATTCGATTTTGAGGAGCGAAATTAAAATTTCGAATCGTCGTGTTTCATATTCAAGTGTTTGAGTTGTTAGCCTGTCTCGTAAAAAGTGAAATTCTTAACAAACGTTCAATATTGCGAAGTCCTACTAAAGAACAATTGTACCTTTGACAGTGATCCAACTAGTATCCTTTCTTTTTTTCCCATCTGCGAAGACGCGTGTTTAATAAAATCATATCGTGCCGCTACCAGCTTTTAGCCGGGAGAGAATCTTTGCAGTTATCTATTTAAGGAAATTACAGCAATCTTCGGAACTTCTATGAATCTGTATTTGATAGCTTCAGTCTGGTACCGCATTTAGTTTTACAATTGCGATTTATCTAAAACACCTGAAAAGACAAATTATTAAGTTCTGTTTATATATATTGCAATTTTTGAAGCTTAAATAAAAATCAAAACAACTTGAATTTTCGAACAACTTAGTTTGGTGTTTGTTCCTAATCAAGCTATCGGATTATACATTTTGATTCCAACATGACATATTTTGTCCATATATATATATATATATATATATATATATATATATATATATATATATATATATATATATCGTTGGATGTAAAAAAGTCAAAAAAATACTGTACCATAACAAATATATTCCACCTGAAATGTTGCACACGCACAGATATATATATATATATATGATAAATTAATTGATTTAAAATATGTTTTTTCCGCTACACAGTTCTAACCATGTTTCAAAAATGGAAGCTAAAAAGCCCCGAATTTAATTTTGTAATTAAATTAAAGACATTAGTTCCATTTCATCCTCAAGCGAATTTTGGAGTAACTTTTAAAATCACTGGGTTTTAAATACACAGCTAAAACAAAATTCCTGTTTCTTAGGTTAGAGATAAATCTGTTTTTCTAGACAGGAGAGTCTAGGTGTTCAATATGTCTATATTTTAATATATCAGTTATTGTTACTTTTGGTAGTGTGTAGGGGTGTATTTTTCAATGAAATCTAACTTCCGTTAAACGTGTCGTCTGGATTTTTTTTTTTATTTATTTAAAATTTATATTCTAAAATTAATTATGATTATTTGAAATCCTCGTAATTCCTCGGCTAAAATTCTTACGGCATTTTTTTTCCCACGTATATTTTACGATTTCTTTTGGGTGGTATTTAGGTAAGAATACTTTTTATTTAACTACGATTTGAAATATTTTTACTTTTAATTTTATTATACTATAATTCGTTCAAGAACAATTTAAATGTAGTTAGAAGCCTTATATAGTTATATTGCTCGTTTTTATTTTTTTTATTATAAGAAACAAAAATAAAACGAGCAATATAACCTGACCCAAATAAATCAACAAACGACTTCCGGTAAAATAACCGCCATAATAGAATACCCACAATGAACCACTAACCCGTATATATATAAATAGCCGAGAAAAATAACAGCATATGTGGCCTGACGATTGCATATAGCATGAAACAGACTGTCGCCTCTAAGTGTTGACTTCTATGTTCACTTTTATATTATATATATATATATATATATATATATATATATATATATATATATATCATAATTAAGTAATTCATCGAGTGTAGAAGAAACCTCAACAGAATGCAGAAAGCACTGGACGGCCGTTCGTCCTATATTTGGAACTCATCAGCAGTGCGCATCCACTACCGAGAATTGAAACCCGAACAGATACGATAGGAGGCAAACGCCATAGCAACTCGGTGACGAAGAGGTAACGAATTAAACTCGATATAGCGCAGCTCGATCACATATTTCGTGGAGGAACTTATTCGAGTCTCTCTTTACACATAAGACTGTGCCCCCACGAGCTGCGACTACTATCCCCAAGCCGCTCACCCCAGGGCATTAGAAGCCGGTTCAAACAAGGATATACAGAGAGAAATAATTACGAGGATTTCAAATAATCATAATTAAGTAATTCATAAAGACACGATGAATTACTTAATTATGATTATTCAAATCCTAATTAATTATTATATATATATATATATATATATATATATATATATATATATATATATATATTTAATTTTTCATATAGACAAGAACAGTTTACTCACTACAAAATGCAACTTCGTTTCGGTGCATTTCTATTGCACCTCGACTGGTGAGAACAAAATTGGTTCTATATGTAAAAGTTATAATAAATAATTATTGCTCTAATATAGGTATCGAGCTCTCTTTTGAATTGATACTGTGAACGTTAGAATTTTTATTTTCGTTATCATTGCATCGGATATATATATATATATATATATATATATATATATATATATATATATATATATATATATATATATATATATCATCAGACAACATTGTGTTATATAATTTGTCTTGTACTCTTTGATCCAAAAAATTAGAAATACGGTAGCCAATGACGACGACACTTTTGGGGCGAAGAATTAAAAGAAGCCTTACGCTTTTTGGTGTTGAAATAATTGATATCGTAAAGTGTGCAATTCCCATGACGTCGTCTTAGCCTTAATTTGTATCTATGAGGGAACAACTTTATTTCTTTGACAGTTTTTATAAGATCTTTCTTTCTCCCTTTCTCACTTTCTTTCTTTTTCTTTCTTTCTCTCTCTTTCTTTCTCTTTATTTTTCTTTCTTTCACTTTCTTTTTTCTCTTACTTTCTCATTCTTTCTTTCTTTCTTTCTTTCATTTTCTCTTTTAATCCATTCTTTACTCTTTCCGATTTTTCTTTCATTCCATATTTCTTTCCTCTTTCTACATCACTTTATGTAAAATGTATTCATTCTACTTTCTTTCTTTCTTTCTTTTCTACAGTTTCTCTTTTTTCATTCCCCCTCCTCCCATACTTTTTTCTTTCTCTTTTCGTTCTTTTATTCTTTCTGTATTCTAGCTTCATTCATTAATTTTTCATTTGTTCTTTTTCCTTTATTTTTCTATTTATCTATTTATTTATTTCGTCCTTACTTTCATTTTCAACATTAACTTCAATGCATTTATTTTTCTTCCTTCCTGTCTGTATGTCTGTCTTTCTTTCTTTCTTTCTTTCTTTCTTTCTTTTTTTCTTTCATATTCAACATTAACTTTCTTACATTTCTTCTTTCCTTTCTTTCTTTCCTTTCTTTCTTTCTTTATTTCTTTCCTTTCTTTCTTTCTTTCTTTCTTTCCGCTTTCTTATATCTTGTTTCTGAGTGTAATTCTCTTTTGGAATACCACCGACACAGCCAAGTTAAATGTGATTTCGGTCATTTCGCTGTCCGGGTTTGGCCGTAACATCAAAGTTGACATACAATGTTTGGTTGTTTCTTTGGCCAGAGATAACTTGCTTCCTTTCTCGGTCCTGTCCTTCATTTCAATTTGGCGCGCTGCCTAAGTACTGCTTCCACCCGCTTGCGTCCACAATCATTTGCAGATGGCTACCTTGTTAGATATCTCTTGTGATTAGTCCAGATGCGAAACGCCCTCAAAATGACAAGAAGCTCGATGCTTCTTATTCGTTGATTTCTTATTGGCAATTGTAAGATAATTGGAATGATAATTATTAAGATATAAGCCTGAATAGTTTTAAGTATATTGTATATTCCATTATAGATTACGCATTAGGAAATAGTCCGTTTTGTTGCGAGATTTGACATATCGAGTAAATAGACTAAACTAGATATCCCACAATGCAATACTAACAAAACACCCCAACGACAATTGCTAGAGAAAAGATATGTATTTTATTCTGCATTGTGTCTTGGATTTGGATTTATTTGGTTTTACCTCAACATTTTATTTAATGCCGACAATATTTTTTAGAATAGGTTCATTTGTTTGTTTGTTTAGCGTCATACCAATTCCTTATTTGCCATTAATACCAAAATTTAATTTTCTTTAGAGCATTATTAATTTCTTTTATAAAAATGTATTGCAGGTAATTTTTTAAAAGATATTGCTGGTAATATATATTTTCTCAAAGAATTATTTGTGGCATTTTTAATACAAAACATCTATCTTTATAGATTCATAATGTTTTGACCACCGCTTAGGGGTTAAAAATTTACACATTGTGGCCGTATTCGTAGTTAATATTATTAAGTGTTGCCTTTTTAGATGAAATTAATTATATATATATATATATATATATATATATAAATTTATGGATAAAAATGACAATAGGAAAACTAGTAATTGCTGACGCGTTTCGTCCAATGTGGACGTTATCGAAGCAAAATACGAAATGAATTTAATTGAACTAGGTAACTAATAAAAACAAAAACAAAATGTTCCTAGAAACTGGAAAGTAGAGAAACGCTATTTTCATATTGTTAACTGAAAATAACGTCAGTATTTTTCACGTGTAGAGAATATTGTCATTATATCTGTGTTGATGCATTCAACCATTTTCTTTTGAATTTATGAATCTGTTGTGTACATTTGTTTGTAAGAGCAGTAATTTTGTTAAGAAAGGTGAGATGGGGAAAAAATTAATAGTTTTCCTATTGTCATTTTTTATTCATAAATATTGTCTTCTCTACTGGTTAAATCGGAGAAATTTTCATATATATATATATGTGTTTATATATATATATATATATATATATATATATATATATATATATATATATATATATTAAAAATCTAATATGTCTCCCTTTTTGTAAAGCTTCCTCATAGAATGGCATATAGAAAAGAATTGTGTTTTTTTTTATACTCGGATGAAAAAGTGAGACGTGATTTTTTTTTAGAAATTTTATCATGGCAAAAAGAAAAACAATCATTTTATGATTAAAATTTGCTCTCATCAAAATATCCTTCTTCTGCTTTGATTGCTGCAGGGCAAATATTTCGCATTCGTCGCAAAAAGTTATCAAAGTATAAGTTTGATAATTGGTTCGATTCTTTTTTCAATTATTCTAAGTGTTCTTTTTCATTTTTTTTCACTCTTCTGTCAGACCGATGCATTTTCTGGTGGTTACTTTGAACTTTATACTATATATATATATATATATATATATATATATATATATATATATATGATGAAAAATAGTATGCTATATTTATGAGAAAAAGTGCTCAATATCAGAGATAGAGCGTGTGTAAATATAAAAGTGAACACTGAAGTGAACACTTAAAGGCGACAGACTGCTTCATGCTAGACGCAATCGTAAGCCAATGCAACGAGTGCTGCTATTCTTCTCAGCTATAAATAGTGTTGACTTCAATGTTCACTTTTATATATATATATATATATATATATATATATATATATATATATATATATATATATATATATATATATATATATATACACGAATGTGTGCGCGCTCGTGCGTCTGTCTAATAGGCATTATTTATATTTGTAGGTTGTCTGTTGATTTGTTTGCAGTTGTTACATTCACTCCGGAAGTGCTTGTTAAATTTTCCTTAGATTCTTTAAGTATGTAGTTGGTATAATGTATATTAGACACACACGCACACATACACAGGCACACACTCACAAAAACATACTGGCACACGTACTTTTGTAATCTAGGGAAGGTTACTGATCAGAATAATCACAGGAAGGTGGGTAATGAACGATAATACTTAGGACAAGAACAACACATATAAGATTTGCCAGCAGCGCGTAGAAGAAGTCAACTGGTAGAAGTGAGTCAAGTGAATTCCACATTTACTATCCAACTGCAGAATAATATACAGTATTTACTACTGTATTTATGTGAATGGAGGCATATATATATATATATATATATATATATATATATATATATATATATATTAAAAAGAAGAGGGTGCCGCAAACGTTTTTTGGTTGTAATGTGGATTTATTGAGAAAAAATATTATACTTTGTTTTACATAATTTCACGACACGTGTTTCTGGTCTGGTCTCACAACCGTCTTCAGGTGAAAGTGGAGATTTTTACATATTATTAAAAATAATTAATTTTTCTTCATGTTCAATGTGGAATATTCTCGATATGAGACATTCTGTTTGTTTTTGTGTTGGCAATCCGAATTTTCTTTCTAGAATTGTCAATGAAGAGTTCTGCGTGAAGGGTCATAAAACAATTAAGGTTTGTCCAGCGAGTAGTTATCGGCATTTAATCTTTTAATGTTTTAGTGACCTCTATGTGCTCTTGGATCTGTTTCTATTTTGGCGTGTTCCTGTCAGCATGCGTGTATATATGCGTGCGTATATTTCCTTACTACGAGGAATTCGTAAACTTATTTGTACTTATACACGCATACACACACATACGCACATACACACTATCCCACCACAAGTAGTCAGTACACACTGGAATAAATTATATTTGCTCTATTCAGTATCGAGCACTCTTTTAAAAATAGCATTTAAGGCCAACTGGTTAGGGCCACATCCCTCACACTAGTGTATAATGGAAAAGATGAAAGACTCATCTTTTGTTTTACGGCCAGTGTTCTCGCTTTTTTTAGTGTATAATTCATGAAAACTTTTTTTCTTTTCCGTTTTATTTTCTTCATTCCCTTTCTCGTCTCATTTTTCTTCTATTTTTTTTTGTTAATGTCTTTTGTTTTTCTTGTCTATTCTCTTGTGTATATATGCCTTCTTCCTTCATCAGACACACTGAATATCGTCTGCAAAGGCCGGCTCGTGACTCTTTCTCTTCCTCTCCACGTCGTATTCGCTTCACCCGGAGACCTCAGGGAATGTTAGCTGTAGTCTTTCGAAGCAATGATAGATGGACTGTGTCCCGTGCATCACTTACTGAAATGCTTCTAAATTCCAAGTGTCGAATCCCGGTTAGGCAAGCCTCTGGGATTGTCACCTCTCATGATTTATACATGAATCTAAATCCCCGTATATATTATTAGCCTCACGACAAAAGACCGTTTCACAAATTAGTTCCTGGATAGCATGGTACTATCTTGGATATAGAAAGAATTGCGGTCAAACCAGTTTTTTCACTTCATTTTTTTTCTATTTTATTAATGTTATTTTCATATTTTTAATGTTGTTTTATATATTGTTTGAATATTGTTATATTACCTATAAAGATCTAAAACCTTTAGGATACTGTCAGGAAAACTTAAGAGATTTGGATGATATAAGATTAAGAGTATAAAAGAGTTACCTCGTACATAGGTTATCTGGAGATGCGGGTGGTGCAATGGGTAGGGACTCCAAATGAGAAATCGGACAGCTGGGTTCAGATTCTAGCGGAGTTCGTTATATTCACTTACACGCAAATACCTTTAGGAAAAGTATGAATCCACGTCTCCCCATCCTAGATATGGGTTAAATAGTAACCCTCGTATCATTAAATTGTTATTTTCCAAACATTCTTAAAATCTGAAAATATTTTCTAGCTTCAAATAATTTTTAATTAGTTGATAAGCCGTAGAAAACGAATCAATCTATCCAGTACTTTCTTATACACAAATGTAACGGCGAAAGTATGATTCTTTCTCCCCAGTTATTGATTAAATAGTAAGATTTATAAAGGAATCATTGTTGTACTACAAAAAGTTGGTTATGCAATATTCACTCATAAAGAAAAAGAATTATTTTTTACAAAACAAAATCTGTTTCTTCTTAAAACAGACCGGAAAAGGTTGTTAAACCATAAGAAAACAAATCTTAGTCTAACTTCTTCCTGAAATATTTACATGATCCCCACTCGCGTCGAATAAAATAGTTCAAGGGAAGGTATATGTATATCGACTGAATGATGATTTCCACAAAAAGCCCGACCATAACTTTTATAAGAATGTTGGTACATAATCTTCTTTTTATTCATGTTTCCTGGTGCAATGTGAATGGTAGTATTATTTTTATTTTTATTTTATTTTATTTTTTTTTTGTTCAAAGCTTTCAGGAATTTCTTTTCTGTCAGTAAGAGAAAGGAATTTAAAAAAATATTCGGTGTAATATGATTTTATGTCGCGGAGGGCAATTGATCAGGGAGCATAATTTATTGTGTTATTTCAATTTTTGTTGATATTGCAGACCTATAAACCCATTGTCCTTTTGAATTTTAAGAGATAAAACTAGTATATACAGAGTGTCCATAAAGTTCGTGTACACTTTAAAAAATGATAACTTTATTTGTGTTTGCGAAAGAAATAATTTGTAAAATGGATTAGAAAGAAGTAAATCTATATATTTTAATGTTTTATTGAAATTTTATTCAAGTTTCCACATGTCCTCCATCATTAGCAATACAAAGTGTAATACGATTTTGCAGTTCACGGAAAACTTTTGCCAACTGATTTACAGTAATGCCTGAAATCACATTAGTTATTTTAGCTATACTTAAAACAAGGTACATTAAACTTTATAACATTTTTTTTTTTACAGATTATTTCTATCGCAAATAGAAACAAAGTTATGAAGTTTTTAAAGT